AAACGTCATGCCCCACGACCGCGGCCCGCGGAATTCGTGAGGTATCGGCATAACGACTAGTGCATGATGATCACGGTCACTGCAATTTGTTGAACCCGATACCTCACTTCTTTGGCCGCTTTGATTTCTTATTCCGTCTTCTCATCCGCCTCCTCCTCCTCCTCTCCGTCATTCGGCTTGCTGCACCTCATTCTTCACAATGGACAAGATAATGAGGTGTATGTAGTGTATGTCTGTGCGAGCCTGTCGCACCATCGACGACAGGGACACAACAGGTCGAAGAAAAGAGGACTCTCAATGTTGCCGACCTACACGCGCGTCCTCTCTCTCTGAAATTTACGTTTCACCAAACGAATGAACGAACAATGCGATCGTTGAGAAATATTTATCGCAATTTCCTGGGTTTGTTTCCGTTTGTGCGTCCAAAATGGTGCCCTTGGACGTATAATAAACGATAGCGGTTTTGTAGTTAATAATAAAACTATTAGAAATCCNTCTTTCCCTACTTTTTCTTCCCTTGCATACCAGTATTTTAGTTTTACTTTTATTTATTTTCATACAGTACTGATCTGTCAGTACCACTTCCATTTTATTTAAAGCTAACTCTAGGTCCTCCTTGCTAGATGCTTATACTGCTATATCACTAGATAATTTGATACTCATTAATTTGAATCTTTTGATAATTTGAATTTTTTCCGGTCTCTTGAAAATAGAATAAAATCAATATCAATTGGTCCAATCGGTAATCTGAAGTTGAAGAAGTAGTGTCTTGCTCGCCACCATACGATAATTTGAAGCCCGGGCTCTCTATAATTTGAAGCGCTTATCATGCACAGACCTATCGTTTGTTTATTATGCTGATGTTGACGATAACATCAGTGTCTACGATGTCCTAACCGATGCCAAATTGATGAACAGGGTCTCTCTAGATGAGGATGAGAAAGAAAATTAAGACGAAAATCCGCCAACTTCAGTCACATTTAGTGATGCAAGGAAATGTCTTACTACCCCTAGACAAAAATTTATCAGTCTCTCAGAGTCTTTTAGAGTCTCTGAGAGCGTCTCTCACAGTCTCTCAATTATTGCCTAGGTGTTTTTATGGATCTCTTGCAGTCTCTGTATGAGAGACTCGAACGATAAAATTGTTAATTCAGAGATTCGAGTCTCTCACAGAGGGACTGAATAAATAAAACTGAAAAATTGAGAGACTCGAGTGTCTCGTAGAAAGACTGGGATCTCTAAAATATGTTGAACTTAGAAAATTGTAACCATGTATATCGAGACACCATTTATTGAGATTCGAGTCTCTCATTCAGAGACTGGATACGAAATGAGGATCTCTCTATGAGCGACTCGAGTCTCTCGTTCAGAGACGCTAAACAGTTTTCTTGACAGTCTCTCTCAGCGACACCAGAGAGACTCGATGAGAGACGGATACTCGAGTCTTGCTTTCAGAGACTCTGAGAGACTGAACATTTTTATCTCGGGGATCTAACAGTCTTGGTCTTGGCCTTGGCCTTGCGAAAATACAAGACCAAAACTGTCCTTATACTAGTAAGACCAAGACCAAATACGTAAGACTAATCGAAAAATTATTACTTTAATATATTCCTTTCGAAGAACAAAACATTTTTGGTATTTGAAATTTTTGCTTTACTACATTTGAACACTAAAATCTACAAGAATTCCCTCGGAGTAAGTGTTCTTTGTTTTTATGTCTGGCTTACACATGGTCTAAATATAGAGACAAACTAATTTTTTTTCTATATTTTTTACTTCTTTCAAATACCTTGTACTAATTTTCTAAAAATGATTCTAAGAATGGCTCGGCCTGTTACCATTTATAATGAAAACTACTTTCTAGGGTAGTAAATTTTATATAACTTGAGCTCATTAAAAAAATAACTATAAAGAGACTCGCATAAACGGGCATACATATGGATGGATTCTCTTTTGTAACTAATGATTCCTTTTGTACCATCGACGGAAATCAATTGAATTTTAAATTATGTGGAAAAAGGTAAAAGCAATTTTTCTGTCACTTTACAGTTGATTAATTTCTCAAAGGAAAAACGCTCGTTTACCATGTAAGCAAGCTCACTCGCGCAGTTAGTTACAAATCGCATTTTAATCCATTAGGATGTCGTTAACCTTTCCATCATATAATCCGATTAAGTGTCATTCATTTCCCTCTAAAGCTTAATAAGGCAAATCTGTCCCAGTGCAACCGTTAACGACTTTATGTAGGTAACGGATTCTAACTAACTACGATATCTATAGGTAGGCGCGTACATACAATACACACGCAAGTATTACGCCAAAGAAATTATTCAACTAACAACCAGATTCACGAAGAAGAAGTTCCCGTAGATACGACATGACGAAGAATAAATCATTCTGACAGTTTCCTACAGCGCGAAATACATAATTTCAAACTCGCATCAGTAACCAACCTTCATTTGACAAACGTAAACTAATTAAACCGTACAGATACCGTTTAAGTTGTTATTAAGAAACACTAATTCCAGTTTAAAAGTCGCTCGGGAAAAATGAGCTACGTTTTAGGACAGATCAACGAACATCAACAAATATGTATTGTCCATGGTCCTGATAGATTTAACTAATCTAAAGTACTTCAATCCGTTCCAAAATAATCTCTAGAGATCCTGAGAGATCATATGCATAAAACAAGCTGCAAGGATTTATTTAGATATTCATACATATCAATACAAAAGACTTCAGGTTTGTGTTTAAAAAGCTAGCTTGGTATGGAATGTAGGTGATTATTAACTAATTTGAGTTTCATATAAATTTCAAAAACAAACCCTCATTATTCTGCCAAAAAGAGGGAAAATTTTGGGTTTGGTTATACAATATTAATGCGCCTCAATTTATAAAGAAATGTGGTGTTACAGGCGAATGATGAGGAGGTACTAAAAAGAATAGGAGAACAGACGACTCAATAAGAAATAGGCGAGATAGGTTAGTAGAAGAGACCGTCTCAGACGTGAAGGTCTAGTCAGAGACATATTAGAGGCAGAAACGGAAGTTAGGAGGGCTAGAGGTAGACCTAAATTTGAATACTGTTCACAAATAGTTAAGGATGTGGGTTGTTCTAGTTTTAGGGAAATGCGAAGATTAGCTCGGGATAGGAAAGAGTGGATGGAGGTGTGTGTTCAACCAGTCTTAGTACTGACGAACTTATGATGATGACACCTAATGATCTTCCTTTGTATCAGCTTTCGAGTTTCTAAGTCATCTAGGTTTTTGGTGAGTGTGTAATAAAAGTAGCACTTTTCAAACCATAATAACTCGAAAACTATCACACGTTTGTTCATGTAATTTGGGATTCTAGGGGTTTGAGGGGTCTTACTATTAGGGCAAGTGTGGTGAAGTAGTAGGTTTTGAGTTATGGATGGCTCAAAAATAGTTCTAAATGGTTGCGACTAAAAAATTGCAGTGGGCGGTAGGCCTGATGTTCAAATTCATCATCAGGGATTCCTTTCATATCCAACCAGGTTTAGTCTAAACAGATAACTTTTGGATTTCAACTATTGTGGTGGTAATAAACGCATACAATGTTTTGCTCAAACAGTCTAAAAGATTGTTGGCTACAACACCAATTTCTCACTGGTTTTGAGTGAGTCAAAACGCATGAATCTTGCGTTGTGCATCAATTTGACCGTTTCCGGTTCCAGAGACGAATTGTGTACCCACATTTCCAGTAACAAAGGTACCTACATAATATGCACATCGACGTATTCCTTGGGGATATTGACCATTTCGTATGGGATTGTACGTCATAGTTCATACGCGGACACTATATGTATCTGTATACACATGTGTACGTATATATTATGTGCACATATCCATAAATCCTCGGTCATATTATACGTCTATTGTGACAGTATTTACGCAGAGCAAACACAGGCCCACAATTTAGCTATTGTTGTCGTGTCGGAACAGTAGCAGCGGGTCAAACGAACTATCATCGCGATTAAGTGGACGGGATCAGGTAGTCCGAGAGAAAACCGCGTTGTTCGGATGGATCCACGATGAATTGCATAAATTGCCTCTCGCACTAGTAACAAAACCTGGATGATGATACAACTGACGAATATTTCGAAACTAGGCTTTTATAGTAGTATACAATAACAATAACTGCTGGTGTTCATTGCCCAAACGCAATGTATCTTGTTAATACGTATGGAATCGGGATAAATCCCAGTTTTACTCGAGCGCTAATCAGTGACCCATTTCGTCGTGTCGAGAAAAGCAAACCCGGATTTTTTCAATAAACATATGCAATGCTGAATAAATGCTTTGGGGCTCTAAGTACACCTATTAGGTAAAAGCTTCCTGTTTATATTACCGTTTTGAAGGATTGACTATGAAAGCTATCCAGTTGTTCCCGAGATAAAAATGTTCAGTCTCTCGGAGTCTCTGAAAGCGAGACTCGAGTCACCGTCTCTCATCGAGTCTCTCTGGTGTCGCTGAGAGAGACTGTCAAGAAAACTGTTTAGCGTCTCTGAACGAGAGACTCGAGTCGCTCATAGAGAGATCCTCATTTCGTATCCAGTCTCTGAATGAGAGACTCGAATCTCAATAAGTGGTGTCTCGATTTTCTAAGTTCAACATATTTTAGAGATCCCAGTCTTTCTACGAGACACTCGAGTCTCTCAATTTTTCAGTTTTATTTATTCAGTCCCTCTGTGAGAGACTCGAATCTCTGAATTAACAATTTTATCGTTCGAGTCTCTCATACAGAGACTGTGAGAGATCTATAAAAACACCTAGACAATAACTGAGAGACTGTGGGAGACGCTCTCAGAGACGTTCAAAGACTCTGAGAGACTGAAAATTTTTGTCAATGGTTATTGCATATGATATTTGCGAAGAGTTGTTTTCGTTAGCACTGCATATATTGATTTTGAGTTTTAATTTTATATCTTCATTTAATTGAATAAATTTAATACTTACGACTTTTTATTTTTCTTACAGGTAAGCATCCAGATTGTGCTCTTGAATTTGGTTGCTGAACGGAGTGGTATGTCAACTTTTGGTAATGTTGATTTTATGTGTGTACCTTTCTATATGTTTTAGTTTATATGTTGTTACTGATAGTAATATAAGGTGCATTAACCAGTGTCTTTGTTTTTTATGTGACTAACGATAAGAGTCAAAGTAATTACTAATACTAGGAAGTGACTGTCTTTTAAAGGCACCTTAATTCGCTACATTGCGATTTGATGCTCTAAATGTAGGGATTTGGTCAAGGAACTTTGATCAGACTTTTTCACTACTTTAGGTGTATTAAAAAATTAAACCTTTGTTTGATTTTTCTGACTAGTACCTAAACAACTTTTTCATCACAGTTTATAGCTTTTATTTCTCAATCTCGTGGTTTACGCTAAAGGAAACGGTTCACAATAGAAACAATTTCAGTCAATTCATTTCGGTAATACGTTTCGTCTTTATTGAGTAACTTAGGCAACGTGTAGGTACCCAAAAGGCGCAGTAAACAATTTTTTTCTTCGTTTTAGAATTATTTGTCACCTCGTGTATTCAACCCGCATTTTTCGGATGGCTTCCTTTTCGTCTTTAGTCACTTCGTCGTTTGTCAGTTTTAATCGGCTTACGACTTTTTCTGTATTGGGCGCTGCTGGTACGCGTTTTATCTTTTCATACCTCGGTCCCGAACCGACACCTGGTCTTTACGGTATTGTCGGGAACAAAAGACGTAACATTGTATACAAAATCTAGGCACAGACCAACTGCAACCATCCCTAAAAATGTAGCTAAACCAAAACTGTCTTTATATCAGGCCAAACAAAGCTTCTCAATATTGGTCCAAAGTTCGTCTAATCTTAGTACATTAACTATTCGCCAACTTTGGGCGCAGTCAAGCATTGGTTTATCAATACTAGTTCAACGTCTGGCCAATCTTCAACTGTTAAAACTTAGGAACATACATTAACGTTTTACCAAGTTTGGTCCAAGCATTGGCTTGTCAATACTGGTCCAAAGTTCGGCCATTCTTCAATTGTTAAAATTAAGATCATACATTAACTTTTTGCAAAGTTTGGTTCAAGCATTGACTTGTTAATAATGATCCAATTTTGGCCAATCTTCAAATTATAGAGCAAGCTGCATTAACGATTCACGAACTTTAGTCCGATATTGGGTTAGTTACACATTGGCTTGTCAATACTAGTTCAAAGTTCGGTCAATCTTCAATTGTTAAAACTTGAAACGTACATTAACGTTTTGCCAAGTTTGGTCCAAGCATTGGCTTGTTAATAATGATCCGATGTTCAAATGTGAATGCTAGGTGCATTAACGATTCACAACTTTAATCCAATATTGGGATAGTCAAGCTTTAGCTTGCCAATACTGGTCCAAAGTTCGGCCAATCTTCACAGTTAAGCAAGGCGAGGAAAGTACAAATGTATAATTTTGGACTTTCTGCATGTTCATTATGAAATCGCCATATGCTAATATTTTTAAGATTTAATTAAATATAACAATCACATTTGCAATATTAATTGAGTCATATTATACGTTACATAAATTGTGATAAGTAAATCCTAATTTTCTAAATTGTATTTTTGAATTTTTCTTTTGCATTTGAAGATTTTTTATTTGCTTATTTTCGTGTATTATAATGCAGACGGGATTTGGTTTATTTTTCATTAATTTTTGTTTATCTGGCTGCAGTTGGTTTGTCCCGTAATCGCTATTATGCACAGAGGCGATGAAATAGCATATCATATGAAAACGAAGAATGAACGGTGGCGCAGAGTTCACGGAATTTAAGGCGATGCGATAGTAGTAACGAAGGGTGAGTTTTCGGGGACCCTTTAGGTTAAAGACGGGCGTACACAAAGCAGCAAATAAGTATAACTTCGGATGCCTAAAGGTCGAAGCATTGTGCAGGTTTTCCAAAAATGTCTTTTCAAGCATTAAATTGCTGGTCCAGGTGGCGGTAATTGTGGGTAAAACGGGTCCAATTGCGTCAAACAAATTAGTTATTGGCTGGCATATTGGAGACATAACAAAAGCGGATGGCGATTAGGGTTTAAAATAAGAGAACTTCAAATGTTTTCATTCAGACGTCTCATTAAGGACTGCTTATGATAATTATATACAAATATGTGAAGAGCCTTTAAAAGTTAACATACCCAAAAATAGTAAAATAATATTTATATATAAGTAAGTACTTTAAAGAGTCTAGTAATTTGACAAATATTTGAAGATTGCTTGCATGGTTCAAGTGCGTCAATTGAGAATTTATTTACTTGAATAAATTACAAGTCATTTCAATTAAAATTTTAAAACCTTTTTGTTGCAACTTTATAATAATGTAAACAAATTAATGAGGGAAAAATTTGAGGCAGTTTGTAGTGGGTAAATTAAAAATCGAAAAAATGATTTCAAATTAATATTGCATATTAATCCATTATTAAGTAACTAACAATGTCATAAGANCGTTAACCTTGTAGGTCGGTTGGTCGTGGTTGTTGTTGTCACCTCTCGTAGTTTAGTGGTCAGAACATTGGTGCGTAAAGCCAAAGGTCCCGGGTTCGATTCCCGGCGGGGGTGTGACAACAGCAACAATTTTTCCCTCATTAATTTGAGGTAGTTTGTAGTAGGTAAATTAAAATCGAAAAAATGATTTCGAATTAATATTGCATATTAATCCACTATTAAGGAACTAACAATGTCATAGGATTTCATAAATTCTCAGTTGTTTAAAAACCCATAGTATGTTTAATGCAAGCGTTACAAAACTCCTACGTACATACTCTGTGTAGCTTTTCATTTAACTTGTTTCAATCAAATGAACTGCAAATCAATAAATGACATACATACATGTACAAAGTCGAAGTAATTTTTTGTAACTAATGATCTGCTAGCCGGGAGTCGACAGACAGTAAAATTATATTCGCTTGACTTTGGTATTGTATAAACGTTTATTATAGTAATTAGCGCCGACTTTACTTATTTTATATTTTTTATGCATAAATAAATTGAATGAATTTTGCATGTATTTTGCAATCAATTTACATTCTAGTTTCAGAAAACCTGTTTAATCCCAGGTGAGAATAGCTATACATACTAATTCGTTCCTATCCTTAATATTCCATCATGTTAGGCTCTTTTGAACAGTGGTATTACCTTAGTTACCATTAAAGACATATAATTACGTATGATATTAGCGCTAATGGTCGTAATCATTAAGAATACGCTGAACTCGTGGAAATTTAGCTAATCGCTGCTATCAACAAAGCGGTGAAATAAATTTAAAAAAAAAAAACGTCGATTCCTGTTCTTCTCATCACTCTCTAAAAACACATTAGATCGGCTATTAACTATTTCGTCTCCGTATGCTATTATTTATCGGAAAGGAAAATAAATCTATAAAACGTGATGTTCTCATTATATCGGCTATTGCGTGTTATTAAACGTTGAAAATATTATGTAGGTAGGTACCTACTTACTTATAGACTAATTACAGGTGAGTTTTAAAGTTCCATCTTTGTTTTATTACAAACAGGTTTTACCCAATTAAGAATCGCCAAGCAGACAAAGCAGAGTAGTTTTCTTTAAGTTTAAAACGTTTCTGAGAAATAATTATATATTTCAATTTTGACGCATCCTAATTGAGTATAAAAACGATTATTAAACATGAACTGTGACATGAATTACGCACAGACTTTTCTACCATCGTTTCTTTCAATAAACACCTGAATTGTGCTCCAGTAGGGCTTCACACGAGACGAGATCAGACCAGAGTATCAAAAATCACGTCTCGGTCTCGTCAACTCCCAAAAAATTAAGTCTTCAAGTCTCAGTCTCGTCTCGTCTCGCTTAATTGTAAATAACGACAATAAATATTGTATATACTAAATAATAAATAATTTATTAAAACTATATTACTCGATGACCAAGAATTTAAACATAATAACGCTTGCATCATATCATCTTTCAATGATGTACGTGTTTTTGTCATAATCNCCAAGACTCTAATGAAAGTAATCAAGCACAGTTGTAATTTATTGAAAAAGCCTACTGTATCTACACAAGACGTTGTCAGTAACTAATATACCTTACTGAGAACTAGGAACTATTTTTAAATTGTGTTTTAACTCAGTATAATAGTTGTTGACTCGACTTAAGTTTAGGGAACAATAAAAATTTTTAATTATTAATATTAAAACTATATTACTCGATGACCAAGAATTTAAACATAATAACGCTTGCATCATATCATCTTTCAATGATGTACGTGTTTTTGTCATAATCATACCTCCTGTAGAAAGTCAATCTTTCAATAGGTACGGATGTAGGCATTATACTGAATAAATTTTTGGCCATCTTGGAAAATGTAAGAAAAACTTCTTCATGCACTTTTCACCAATCTAATATATTTTGATTCCTATTTGCTCTTTCTAATAGTAAGAGTTAACAAGTTGAAGTGAAAATGTGAAAAAATTATTGAGTTTTTTTTAAATTACAATAAAATATTTCACAGATGGTCACCAGATTTTATATTTTGTAAAATATATTGTTCTCTATGTAGACCTTTTTTAATTTTTCGAATAAAAATTTCATAAAAAAAATTAACGAGACCAAAAACGAGACTCGGGTTGTGCTGTATGTGGTTTCGGTATTGCCCATAATATTTTCCAAAACGTCTCGCTTTTCCGAAGAAAGAAAGCAGAGAACGAGAGTAGACGAGAAAAATCTCGCTTTCGTGTGAAGCCCTACGCACAAGTGGTGCTGTCAAGTATCCTATTGTTTTGACATAATCATATCTTAATATTTATTTGCTATATTTTTCGATTATTAAATTTGTTTAACAATACTTTTCGATTATAAGTTTTCTTTTCAATCTACTTTACTGAATTCATTTTAATGTAAGAGCTGGTTCAAATTTTAGTAAGAACTTTCAAAAATACCTGTCTCTTTTGGGTCAAGAGGAATAAGGTCGCCAGTAGATTTGCATACCTTCCTCATTTGCTCTTGCAGGAGCATCTAGGAGCTTTAGGAGCGGAATTT